ACCCCCCCCCCCCTTCCCCCTCTCCCTTCATCTTTCATTTGGTTTTAAGGTTTGGAAAAGTGGCTTACATTTGAAAAACACAGGCTCTTGACTACCTTGGAAAGAGTCGTGGAATACAGAGAACAAGGGAGCTAGCAGCAAAGCATGCCAACCTTGCCTCGGCTTCAATTAATTCTCTGCCTGAGAGTGATGATGAGGATGTTCAGAAATCAAGGCGGGCTCTTATAGAGCTCACTCAAATAGTGATTAAAAGAACGAAGTAAGGAAAAATGAAGTTCGGGATAAGTAACAGGACAGGAATTTGCAGAATTTTTTTTTCTGCTTTCTGCATTTGTTTCCTTGCCATGAGGGATGAATCCCTGATTTAATTCATGAAACATTCCTTTAATCTTTCCATTTTTTTTGTCAAATAATTGCTCTAGAAAAGGGACAGTCGAGCTGTAATTTAAACTTCCTGTAGAGTAGATATTAGGATCAGCAATGTTCACTAGCTTTTGATAATACAGCCAAGAGGACCTCATGATCTGACTTACTGTTTTCAGTATATGCTATTTTTTTGGGACGAGTACCCATTTGAAGAGTTTCCTCATCCCCACTCAGTATGCATCTATGTCTGGGTGAATGGCCATTTTCTCACCAGTAAGGCCAGGTGGGTGTTATATGGAAACTAGGCCTTTTATTTGCAATGTTGTATCCTCCTATCATTGACTACTAGAGTGGAACCTCGATGCCTTGCATCGGTATCCACAATGATTGCTCCATCGTAATAGGTTACAGCCATCATCGAGATGTCTCAGGTTATTGAGCTTTAGACCCATCCCATCGCCTTTTGAAAAAAAATTCCCAAATAAGGGTTGGTTTGATAATAATTCTCAAATCCAAGTAGTTTTAAAAACATTAGTTGGTCTGACGTTTTTGGCTTAAAGATGTCAGTCAGTTGGTCTAACGTTTTTTGCCTAAAAATGTCAGATCAATTACCGTTTTTAAGCTTGAGCAGTAACATTTCAGGGGCCTTAAAAAAGTCAGTGCAATTGACGTTTTAATTAAAAAGTCAGTTGTACTAACGTTTTTAAGTTGCACCTAGACCCCGATTTTTCTCACCTCTCTCCTTTCCTTTCTTTTATTTCCCTTCTTCCTCCCATCTGAGCCCTAATTTCAGTCGAGAGAAATTGAAATCTCACCATCATCACCATCGATCATCGCAGCACCACCATCGTAGCACCACCATGCAGCACCACCCACCACCACCCAACCATCGAAGCCCCAAATCCAAGCACCACCACCATCGAAGCCCACCCCATCACCACCCACCATCTGAAAGGCCCAATCCCTCAATCTGCACTATTGTTCCTCCATTGTACCGTTGACAGCGCCTCCACCACATCCGGTGAGACCTCTTTATTTATTGAATGAAAAACAATCGCATTATATGAAATTATTGAAATATTGAAATTCTATGAAAATATTTATTATTGAAATTCAAGTGTAGCAGGGGAGTTGGTGACTGAACAGGTGAAGAATGAAATTCTGTCTGCTGGTATTTTGTTGACTCATTGTGCTGATTATCTGATATGACAAAATTCTAGGGATGGAGTCTTTTCAGTTAAAGCTGCATGGCATCTAATAAGGAAGAGGGGAGAGAAGAGCAGGGTTGCTGAAATTATTTGGAAAGTGCCCACAGCTCCTAGTGCCTAGTTGGTAGCTTGGAAACTGCTTCATAATGCTGTCTTTTGATTCCAGAATTCAGCAGCTTGGTATTCCGTTAGCAAGCAGGTGTGGTTTGTGTCTTAAGGAGATATAAAATACTGTTCATGTGTTAGTTGACTGTCCATATGCTGGTTCTATTTGGAGCAGATTTGCGGCTATTATTGGTTTTAAGATTATTGAAGCAGAAAATCCTCTGGTTAGGTGGCAGAGGATTTGTAGAATTTTTAGAAAGAATAGGGTTAGTCATAGTATTGTCAGAAGTGTGCCTTTGTTGATTTTCTGGCAAATTTGGAAAGAGAGGTGTCGCAGAAGGGCTGTGAGGATAAATTCCTATTCTGTTTTCTTAAAGATATGCAGTTTGCTAAGATTTCAAGTGAGGAATGTGAAAGCTCAAGTATGTGACGATGAAGTGGGAAGGATTATGCTAAAGACATTAGGTATGTTGGATTTATCCTGAGTCTGAGAAATTTAAATTGAATGTTGATGGTGCTGCGAAAGGAAATCCTGTGGTGGTGCAATTCTAAGGAATGAGTGGGGTGGTATGGTTTTGGCGGGGTCTCTTTTATGGTGTTTGTTCCAATATGGAGGCGGAGAATAGAGCTTTGATGGATGGTCTTAGTATGGTGGAAAGGTATGGGTTTTTTGGGTACGAGATATGCATTGAGTCAGACTCAAAGGTGTTGGTTGACACTGTTCAAGACAGAATGAGATGTGCTTTGCCTTTTATGGGCATGATTGCTCATATTAAGTCCTTGCTTCGAAGGATTGGGAGTTTTATATTGCTTGCATAAAGATTTTACTATTTTACTATTTTGGAATTTGGGTTTATCATGGAGATTGGATGTAAAAGGCAGCTTACCTTTCATATATGGCTTTTGGAGTTTGTTTTTACAGCTGATATGCCTGATTTGCTTCGTGTAATCACTGATTTTGTATATAAATAAAATTTTAATTTAAAAAAAAAATAGAGAGGGAGCAAAACAATTTTAGGTATCTTTGTTAGGGATAAAAATTTCAGTACGACAAATGAAATTTATGTATTTTTAAATTATCAAAATTTATTTATTAAATATATTTCATTTCTTTAATAAATAAACATTAAACATTTTAGATAAAAAAAGGAGTGAGAAAAACTATCACTGAGAAGTCTGCTGACCCAACCAATATGTTTCAACCAATCCATGTAACAGTCAACAGGTCTTAATAAATTTGGTCTGCTACATCATCGACCTGAGGTTAAACACGTAAATCAAAAATGACATTTTTAAGCTTCTTATACTGGCCAGAGTCCTATTTTAAAGACGTCAATTGGTTTGACGTGGTCAGCTAAAAAACGTCAGACTAATTAACGTTTTTATATGTTATCCTCAATCTAGTTAAAAATGTTAGTTGATATGACATATTTAGGGAAAAAAAGTCAGATCAACTTACGTCTTTAAGCTTAAGAATATCAGACCAACTAACATTTTTAAAACTATATGGGTTTGAGAATTATTTTCAAACCGACCCTTATTTGTGATTTTTTTTTCAAAAGCCCGTGGGATGGGTCAGAGCTCCAGGTTATTGCATTTCATACAATTCTGTATGATCTTGCTCCATGACTTCATGGATGCATCCATTTGAGTATATGTATGTTTGTGCGTTATGTGTGTGTGAGTGGAGAGAGAGAGAGAGAAAGAGATTTTCATGTATATATGGATAGAGATGTGAACTCCACGTATGGGTTTGGGGTTGGGTGAGATATGTAATTCATTAGTCTTTGACCAGTGATCGTGCAATCTGTTTGATTTATNCTTTGGGAATTTGGGTTTATCATGGAGATTGGATGTAAAAGGCAGCTTACCTTTCATATATGGCTTTTGGAGTTTGTTTTTACAGCTGATATGCCTGATTTGCTTCGTGTAATCACTGATTTTGTATATAAATAAAATTTTAATTTAAAAAAAAAATAGAGAGGGAGCAAAACAATTTTAGGTATCTTTGTTAGGGATAAAAATTTCAGTACGACAAATGAAATTTATGTATTTTTAAATTATCAAAATTTATTTATTAAATATATTTCATTTCTTTAATAAATAAACATTAAACATTTTAGATAAAAAAAGGAGTGAGAAAAACTATCACTAAGAAGTCTGCTGACCCAACCAATATGTTTCAACCAATCCATGTAACAGTCAACAGGTCTTAATAAATTTGGTCTGCTACGTCATCGACCTGAGGTTAAACACGTAAATCAAAAATGACATTTTTAAGCTTCTTATACTGGCCAGAGTCTTAATTTAAAGACGTCAATTGGTTTGACGTGGTCAGCTAAAAAACGTCAGATTAATTAACGTTTTTATATGTTATCCTCAATCTAGTTAAAAATGTTAGTTGATATGACATATTTAGGGAAAAAAAAGTCAGATCAACTTACGTCTTTAAGCCTAAGAATATCAGACCAACTAACATTTTTAAAACTATATGGGTTTGAGAATTATTTTCNGTCATCGACCTGAGGTTAAACACGTAAATCAAAAATGACATTTTTAAGCTTCTTATACTGGCCAGAGTCCTATTTTAAAGACGTCAATTGGTTTGACGTGGTCAGCTAAAAAACGTCAGACTAATTAACGTTTTTATATGTTATCCTCAATCTAGTTAAAAATGTTAGTTGATATGACATTTTTAGGAAAAAAAAGTCAGATCAACTTACGTCTTTAAGCTTAAGAATATCAGACCAACTAACATTTTTAAAACTATATGGGTTTGAGAATTATTTTCAAACCGACCCTTATTTGTGATTTTTTTTTCAAAAGCCCGTGGGATGGGTCAGAGCTCCAGGTTATTGCATTTCATACAATTCTGTATGATCTTGCTCCATGACTTCATGGATGCATCCATTTGAGTATATGTATGTTTGTGCGTTATGTGTGTGTGAGTGGAGAGAGAGAGAGAGAAAGAGATTTTCATGTATATATGGATAGAGATGTGAACTCCACGTATGGGTTTGGGGTTGGGTGAGATATGTAATTCATTAGTCTTTGACCAGTGATCGTGCAATCTGTTTGATTTATTTCTGCTGTTCTATTATCTCCAGTTTTTTTTTCTTTCATTTCTCATCCTTGGTGGAAGGATTTAGAGCCAAGATTCCTGGGGTGTTTCAATTCATTTGAGAGGGCAACTGAGCAAGACCACCCCCGCCCCAGGGATGGAGTCGGCTAATATCAAGGTCCAACATTTGAGACGGTCGCTCTATTAAGGAAGAAAGAAATTACTTTTCAAACAGTAATTGAATAGTGAGGTTCTCAACAATTCAGGGGAGTCATGGCCTACTTAGTTCATAACACAGTTCCGTCCCTACCCTATTACAGCTTTCCTAAGAGCATACATCTTATGGCAGGATTCAGTATGTTAGACTAGCATGAGTAATCAAAGATGTACCGGATGCGACAAGTGAACTGAGGCACCTAGGAGCAAGAGTTTCGTGTAACAAATAATAATAATAATAAAACCGACCTATCCGATAAGAGAATGAGGTCCAAAGGTCATATTGGGATGCTGTCTGGCTATAACTATTTTGCATAGTCACTTGCAATTTGAAGGCCAAGTCAGAGGTTACTGGAGCTATAGAAGTTGTTACTGTAAAGAGGGGTTAGTCTGCCGGAGTATCCCGATTCGGATCCAAGGGCAGAGGAGAACAGATCAATATACTCACTGTAAAACCCCACAGCAAAACAAATACCAGGTAACAATCAAGTAGGGAAGAAGCAGAGATGAAATAATCCACAGATCACTATCTTCACACATGCCATTGATATAATATAATACAATTAAAGTAGCAAGAGTAGCCAATTATTGGAAACCAAAAAAACAAGTGACAAAAAAAAAAAAAAAAAAGAAGAAGAAAAAGAAAAAAGAATTAACCACAAGGCACCATCATGATCATCTCATAGCTCATCATGACCATCCCGGAGAAGAAGATGTCGGCGTACTCATTAGATTGAATTGAACACCCCAAATATGAAACATAACTTGCATAACCTGATGCATCTGTTAAACTGTTTGTACACAAGCTGAGTGAAAACCAGATTATGATAACAAAGTCGCATGATGTGATGCACGTTTGAACTACTCGTACCAATGAGCAAACCTCGGTGCATAGTCCTAGTCTCAAACATGGCCCTTTCCATTGAATGTCTCTAGATGTGCTTCCTGTTTGAGTTGCAAAACTTTCGACTGGGCCAACCATCCTCTAGCTAAAGAAGACATCTTGGGAGATAAATGCAGCCCAAGCATCCTATAGCCACATAATAAGATCACATGAGAAAGAATCATTATCAGAAGTCATATTGAATGAGAGGTCAACCAAATTAGAATTCTTAGTCTTAACAATAGTCTGTGTCACACACACAAGCTTGAGACCGTTTCAATCATGTTTCAAAGAACAGCTGATGATTTGGTGATTTTAGTTTTGAAATGATACACGTTCTTGGTAAACCACGATTCTTGCCATACTCGTTCTTGCCTCAGGGATGTCGCAGGCGAGTTGACTGACTCATTGGTGTCGAATCGCACAGTATTATCTAACATTTTTTCACGACGCCTTGATATGGGCTGATTATGGTGCTTTGTCCAACTTTTGCTCCTATCCAGCATTTTGTGTGTATCATCCAGTATCGACGTTGAAATATGGCTTCAACAGATGATAGTAACTTGCTACCGCAACAAACACGGATAATACTTATCTAATTTGCAATATCTTCATTCCTTGTTCTCGTATCAGGTGAAAACAAAAAATTTAATTCCAATCTACCGTGTCAAATTAAAATTTTGTCTGAGCCTTTCCTTACCCTGGACTCACTAGACTTCCATGTGTACTTCTAGAGGTAAAGACCGCATATTTTTCAACACTACAACAGAAGAACCATATACCTGGAGGATCGAAAATGCCTTCTCTGCAACATATTTTTGTGGGAGTGTTGCACCTCTTTGTTGCAGTTTGTCTGGGTGCAGACATAGCCTTGCTTTCTGATAAGCTTTCTTCACATGTGAGCTTTCTATGAGGTTTGTGAGAGAGAGAGGATACCAGCCACTATTTGGCCAGAGAATCTGAATGCAAGGCCAGGCAGAGAGAGTATATTTATGTAAGTACTAAGTACCATACAGGTATCATTTAAACCCTCAGATACTCGAGGACAAAGAACCGAATACCAACATTAGAGATTGATCTTACATGATGCAGAGTTGAGATCAGCAACCGGATGTTTGCTTCCTTGCCAGCTGACCACAACCTTATATCTTCATCCAATACTTCCATTTCCATCTGCACTTAGTATAAAGGCAAAAAATGAATTTGATCAAAACCTTGGTCCTTATCTCAGGAGAAAACTTTAGCTGAAAGCAAGATGCCTGCAATTTAAATTGCCCAGAATAAAGAAGAAAGCATTCATCAGTTGTCAATCAACTTATAATCAGCTGCATCGCAGCAGTGTCAATAATTTTAGGTTCTTTGGCAACGACTCCGAATCGTGAAGTCACCTGTCATGCTTGACATAATGGCTTGGAAGCATGACATAATGGCTTGAAGGATTCAACCTACCCTAACTACATAACCCCCCAATAGTTAAATGACCGTGATGTTATACTCTCAGTCTAATATAAGGGCCAAACTTTTCAATGAATCACGGGGTTAAAATCCTTAATATTGGAGAAAGTTCTAGTGCCCACAAGTTCAACTTAAAGCCTTGCCAGAATTATTATTCAGCACATGTACCTTCTTCAATTGAAAACAACTAGAGAACACAACATCAAAGCCATGCAGCAATAAAGAGATTGCTAATACTTCTATACATTAGTGTGTAGAACGTCAATGATAACACATTTTGCAAGATGCTGTATCACTCATCTATATACAGGTCTCTTTTTAGACAAGAATTTATGTATGTGTGCCTTAGAACCATAAATGTTTCCAAGTTCATCCACGCACAAGTGTGCCCCAACCATATGGTGATTCTTTTGATGTGAATTGAAGGTACTGAAATATGTCTTTGATTAGAAGCTTTCATCTATTTCCAATTGTTTCATGAACTGTATGCGTGCCTTACATTTCATTGAAAAGTGTAAGTAAGAATGATTATTCTATGACCTGATATATGGCCTACTGGCTACTATATAGTGAGTGTTCTTCTCGATTTGGACAACTTATGCAGGAGCCAAACAGTTTGGGACAAAGAAACAATTGAGTCCCACAAACCCAGTTTCTATTGAAGTGTATTATAAAATGATACAACTAGGATCCCCAAAACAATAGAAAAGGAAGGATACAAATAAATGTAAAAGCATTCACAAGACAACAGTGATATCGCCCCTAGGGTGAAATCCGTGCTTCAGTTGCCACCGAGAGCTTACAAAAAATGCGACTTCTAGTTCTCTTTCTCATTTTCGCTTGATTTTGGGATTTTTAATTTATTCTGATTCTTTTGGTTGTCGTTATCTTACACAGAGCCCTTCTATGTTTTTCTCTTTTTGTAAATGAAAATGTATTGATTATCTCAACAAATATAAAGCTTATTGTCTGATTGCACAAAACAGAAATATACCGCTGGAGATGGCATTGATCCATTACTGTCAATCTGGTCATCTGAAAACTGCTGAGCATTAGGCCTATCTGTAGAATTTCAAAATGAAGAAACAGAAAACATTGTTATAGCATAATGAAGAACTTCTTACATCATAATCTATTACAAAAACTAGAGGAAATAGCCACTACATCACCTTCCATTTCCACAGACTGCTCCTTTTCATCTTCTCTCACGTTCCAGTCTTTCTCCGAACTTTGTGTTTGAAATTTCTCTTTGGCCCACGCAATTGCTTCATCTACGCCAAGTGCTTCACCCGTTCCTGTCCTATGGTCAGAATTAATCTCAATAACATAAGAGCTCATTTCTTCATCTTCTTCTAGCTCTGTGCATTGTTCTTGCAACTCTTTATCTTGAACTATGCCTGTTTTTTCCTCTTGGTCTTGGCAAAGTGAAGACACTACAGATGAAGGGGAGTTGAGTTCGAAGTCTTCAATGGACACTTTGACACTGCCATATGCATAGGGTTCTAGACTAATGGTCTCAGGGGATGGCACCTGCCGAGACAATCCAAAGTGGGAATTCCTAAAATTCTCATTGCACTCTTTTTCGATGTATGAAGGACAATTGCTTGGAAAAGCTGGTACACCCTGTTCACTTGGGTGTTCGACGTGCATCATAGTTGATGAGTTCCATCTACATGGAACATTTATTGGCCTGCCAAATAGAGTAAAACCTTAACATATTGCATAATTCAGCATCTTATTTTCTTACAATATCTTTTAATTTTTCTACATTAAAGGTCCATGTATTTCAAACCTTGATCTTTTGTGGGATTTCAAATCCATAAGTTATATTCTCAGTACGTAATAGTTGTCGAATGTTTCCTAAAAACCAAAATAATATCATACTAAAAGGCAATGTTGAAAGGTGCAATGGCAGAAGGTGCCACTCTTGCAATGGTTTTAATTTTTCGAACTCATATTACGCCCTTTAAAAATTCATGAGGCATGTGTCCGGAAACTGGATTTGGTCCGCCCTAAACATTTCCCGTTGCAATGTCCTCCTCCTCTTCTTCTTCTTTTTTTTTTTTTGACCTCTTAAAATTCAACCAATACCTCTACATGATCCATCCCACAAGAACAGTATACCAAGTAAGCCTAGATCCAATCTGTAAGGATAGCACAAAGGGGAAGCATTGGGCTACCGTTTGTCCGCTTCAATTCTTCTAAGAGTCAAATACACAACCACAATCATATGATGTCCAATTATCCATAAAAAAAATTCATCAAGTCATATCATATTGTACAGTCAAGCAATGTATCTTTATCTTTTAGTACATATTAATCCAGAAAGAAATTTTATCTTCAAAATGTAGATCTAAACTATATTATCATGTAAATGAATAAAAAGAAAGACAATCTAATGTCCGAAGCTCTTGTTACTATGAACTGTAGAGTAGGTTAGATATAAACAAATTTCCTTTTAACATGCATCCACAGAAAGACCGTTTTCGCGAGTCAGAACAATCTGACTTCCCTGCGAATCTTCTCACTTTCTTATTTCTCTTTGGCTTGCCATTCACATACTCAGTCTTCCATTTCAACCCCAGAAGGGCAAAATGGTCATAAAAAGCACGCAAAGCATTTCTCGTGTCAGATCTCTCCACGGTTAGATCTGACAGGTAATTAATTTTAAACTAGATGGACAATTATGTCATTCCAAAAGAAAAACAGTTAGATACGGTTACTTACACTAATGTAGTATATAGTACCTGAGCTTCGAAGCGAAGGAAGAGAACAAAACGTCGTCGTTTTCTCCGATCACAGGCCGTAGCGGACTCAACTCTTCGGAACTCAACACCGACGATGAACTCGTCTTCGTCGATTTCGACCTCGACATCGAACTCCGGACATCGCCGTCCGACCGAAATATATCCTTATAAAACTCTTGGCTCCTCCGATTATTTCCACTCGCCGGAATTCTAAACTCCGGCAAGCTGCGGCCGTTTTTTATCTGAGCCACATTTTCCGTCGGCCGGAAAACTTCCTCGTAGAATGAACCATTTGACGATCTTGAGAAGTCACCACCGGAAAATTGGCGGCAGAGTACGGTTTTCGGTGGGCCTCCGAAGACGTCGTTGAAATCCTCAGGGTCCAGCGAGTCGGAGTTGTTGAAAATGGATCGGTGAGACGTTTCTTCGGTTGATTTTCTGCGAGGAAGGTTTGGTTTATTGGTCGGCATTCCCATTCCAATTCGCATCTTCCATGACTCATCCATTTTCCGGTGAGTCTCGCCGGAGAGTTTTGCTGCAAAGTAGACAAGGCGGTAAGCACTGAACAGTGAATCGGATTGTAAGTATTTGAGTATATATAGCGCTCTCTCTCTCTCTCTCTTTAAATGTCTGGTATGAAGTAAAGGAGATGTTAACCTGATGATCATGGTTGACATGCTTTGCTCGACTGCCTGGAAAGAGGTTTGTCCCTAAAGATGACCCTACAATATAATTTTTTCTAAGGTACTGGTATGTTTTGGATTTTTAATTTTGTTAATTTCCATCAAATTTAATTTTTTATTATTATGACGCATAAAATTGATTATGCATAATTAAATCAGTCGATTAAATGGTATAAAATAATTAATAAAAAATAATAAGAGACTAAATGGTGTAAAATAATTAATAAAAAATAATAAGAGGCAAAAACCAAGTGATTGAGTCTAAGTGACCTAACAACTAAAGACAATGATGATTGGAGAAGTCTCGTTATAAGATAGTAAAAGAGAGAGCATTAGTAAGCTCAACAATTTATAAACATACAGCCCTAATTGAGACGGTGACGTGAAGATTAATATGCTAGCTTATCAGAGAGGCTAGCTACAATTAGGAATGAAATTTATCCTGAAGTAATGACTATCTTTATAATTGATCTCTCACGTACGTCTACTTTTCTTAACTCTTAAATTTTGAATTAAATTGAAACTATGAGTNACGGTTAGATCTGACAGGTAATTAATTTTAAACTAGATGGACAATTATGTCATTCCAAAAGAAAAACAGTTAGATACGGTTACTTACACTAATGTAGTATATAGTACCTGAGCTTCGAAGCGAAGGAAGAGAACAAAACGTCGTCGTTTTCTCCGATCACAGGCCGTAGCGGACTCAACTCTTCGGAACTCAACACCGACGATGAACTCGTCTTCGTCGATTTCGACCTCGACATCGAACTCCGGACATCGCCGTCCGACCGAAATATATCCTTATAAAACTCTTGGCTCCTCCGATTATTTCCACTCGCCGGAATTCTAAACTCCGGCAAGCTGCGGCCGTTTTTTATCTGAGCCACATTTTCCGTCGGCCGGAAAACTTCCTCGTAGAATGAACCATTTGACGATCTTGAGAAGTCACCACCGGAAAATTGGCGGCAGAGTACGGTTTTCGGTGGGCCTCCGAAGACGTCGTTGAAATCCTCAGGGTCCAGCGAGTCGGAGTTGTTGAAAATGGATCGGTGAGACGTTTCTTCGGTTGATTTTCTGCGAGGAAGGTTTGGTTTATTGGTCGGCATTCCCATTCCAATTCGCATCTTCCATGACTCATCCATTTTCCGGTGAGTCTCGCCGGAGAGTTTTGCTGCAAAGTAGACAAGGCGGTAAGCACTGAACAGTGAATCGGATTGTAAGTATTTGAGTATATATAGCGCTCTCTCTCTCTCTCTCTTTAAATGTCTGGTATGAAGTAAAGGAGATGTTAACCTGATGATCATGGTTGACATGCTTTGCTCGACTGCCTGGAAAGAGGTTTGTCCCTAAAGATGACCCTACAATATAATTTTTTCTAAGGTACTGGTATGTTTTGGATTTTTAATTTTGTTAATTTCCATCAAATTTAATTTTTTATTATTATGACGCATAAAATTGATTATGCATAATTAAATCAGTCGATTAAATGGTATAAAATAATTAATAAAAAATAATAAGAGACTAAATGGTGTAAAATAATTAATAAAAAATAATAAGAGGCAAAAACCAAGTGATTGAGTCTAAGTGACCTAACAACTAAAGACAATGATGATTGGAGAAGTCTCGTTATAAGATAGTAAAAGAGAGAGCATTAGTAAGCTCAACAATTTATAAACATACAGCCCTAATTGAGACGGTGACGTGAAGATTAATATGCTAGCTTATCAGAGAGGCTAGCTACAATTAGGAATNCCCGTTAGATCTGACAGGTAATTAATTTTAAACTAAATGGACAATTATGTCATTCCGAAAGAAAAACAGTTAGATACGGTTACTTACACTAATGTAGTATATAGTACCTGAGCTTCGAAGCGAAGGAAGAGAACAAAACGTCGTCGTTTTCTCCGATCACAGGCCGTAGCGGACTCAACTCTTCGGAACTCAACACCGACGATGAACTCGTCTTCGTCGATTTCGACCTCGACATCGAACTCCGGACATCGCCGTCCGACCGAAATATATCCTTATAAAACTCTTGGCTCCTCCGATTATTTCCACTCGCCGGAATTCTAAACTCCGGCAAGCTGCGGCCGTTTTTTATCTGAGCCACATTTTCCGTCGTCCGGAAAACTTCCTCGTAGAATGAACCATTTGACGATCTTGAGAAGTCACCACCGGAAAATTGGCGGCAGAGTACGGTTTTCGGTGGGCCTCCGAAGACGTCGTTGAAATCCTCAGGGTCCAGCGAGTCGGAGTTGTTGAAAATGGATCGGTGAGAGGTTTCTTCGGTTGATTTTCTGCGAGGAAGGTTTGGTTTATTGGTCGGCATTCCCATTCCATTTCGCATCTTCCATGACTCATCCATTTTCCGGTGAGTCTCGCCGGAGAGTTTTGCTGCAAAGTAGACAAGGTGGTAAGCACTGAACAGTGAATCGGATTGTAAGTATTTGAGTATATATAGCGCTCTCTNCGTTTCTTCGGTTGATTTTCTGCGAGGAAGGTTTGGTTTATTGGTCGGCATTCCCATTCCAATTCGCATCTTCCATGACTCATCCATTTTCCGGTGAGTCTCGCCGGAGAGTTTTGCTGCAAAGTAGACAAGGCGGTAAGCACTGAACAGTGAATCGGATTGTAAGTATTTGAGTATATATAGCGCTCTCTCTCTCTCTCTCTTTAAATGTCTGGTATGAAGTAAAGGAGATGTTAACCTGATGATCATGGTTGACATGCTTTGCTCGACTGCCTGGAAAGAGGTTTGTCCCTAAAGATGACCCTACAATATAATTTTTTCTAAGGTACTGGTATGTTTTGGATTTTTAATTTTGTTAATTTCCATCAAATTTAATTTTTTATTATTATGACGCATAAAATTGATTATGCATAATTAAATCAGTCGATTAAATGGTATAAAATAATNTGTTTCATCTGATGACCCTACAATATAATTTTTTCTAAGGTACTGGTATGTTTTGGATTTTTAATTTTGTTAATTTCCATCAAATTTAATTTTTTATTATTATGACGCATAAAATTGATTATGCATAATTAAATCAGTCGATTAAATGGTATAAAATAATTAATAAAAAATAATAAGAGACTAAATGGTGTAAAATAATTAATAAAAAATAATAAGAGGCAAAAACCAAGTGATTGAGTCTAAGTGACCTAACAACTAAAGACAATGATGATTGGAGAAATCTCATTATAAGATAGTAAAAGAGAGAGCATTAGTAAGCTCAACAATTTATAAACATACAGCCCTAATTGAGACGGTGACGTGAAGATTAATATGCTAGCTTATCAGAGAGGCTAGCTACAATTAGGAATGAAATTTATCCTGAAGTAATGACTATCTTTATAATTGATCTCTCACGTACGTCTACTTTTCTTAACTCTTAAATTTTGAATTAAATTGAAACTATGAGTCTGACCTGTCTTTTGATAATTTGAGCTCAATCTACGAATTAGGCTGAAGACTAGTTTGAATTTGGACTCATCAAGACTAGTTTGGATTTGGACTCGTCAGTTATTAATTTATCAGAGGAAAATTAATATTTGAACTTTTTTAATTATGTCATTTGTATCGCATTGTCTCAAATTATCGCATTTTCTCACAATACAACTTTAACTTTCGGTATTAATTTTACATTTCTCGATTTATAGACCCTAGATGCGTATTTTATTTTATGTTTAGACATTTTTTATGAAAAAATNGGTCGATTAAATGGTATAAAATAATTAATGAAAAATAATAAGAGACTAAATGGTGTAAAATAATTAATAAAAAATAATAAGAGGCAAGAACCAAGTGATTGAGTCTAAATGACCTAACAACTAAAGACAATGATGATTGGAGAAATCTCATTATAAGATCGTAAAAGAGAGAGCATTAGTAAGCTCAACAATTTATAAGCATACAACCCTAATTGAAGCGGTGACGTGAAGATTAATATGCTAGCTTATCAGAGAGGCTAGCTACAATTAGGAATGAAATTTATCCTGAAGTAATGACTATCTTTTTAATTGATCTCTCACGTACGTCTACTTTTATGAATTCTTAAATTTTGAATTAAACTGAAACTATGAGTCTGACCTGCCTTTTGATAATTTGAGCTCAATCTACGAATTAGGCTGAAGACTAGTTTGAATTTGGACTCGTCAAGACTAGTTTGGATTTGGACTCGTCAGTTATTAATTTATCAGAGGAAAATTAATATTTGAACCTTTTTAATTATGTCATTTGTATCGCATTGTCTCAAATTATCGCATTTTCTCACAATACAACTTTAACTTTCGGTATTAATTTTACATTTCTCGATTTATAGACCCTAGATGCGTATTTTATTTTATGTTTAGACATTTTTTATGAAAAAATATATCAATGTATAGTTTTGGAATAATGTGAAATTAATGTTTAGTCTGTTATGAAGTAGTATAAAGTGAAAATTCTTAAGTTTTTAGAGTGAAAAGTGCGAATCTCCTTAGAATAAAGTAAGATCAGATAATAGTTGAGGAGAAAAAAGGGTAATTTCTTTTCCTTTATTGGATTCCACTTATCTATTACTATGGACCAGACTAATAACTAAGAGGATCCAATGATGGGTCTCTCAATTGAGTCGGGTTTTAGTGTGTTCGTGTTAAAAATTATTTATCATGTCGTGTATAATTAATATATAAAATGAATTATGTTGTGTCGTATAAAACAATTTTTTTTTCAATTCATTTTGTTAATCGTGTCTTGTTAAATCCACTCATTTATTAGATAAATTACTTAAAAAGGATCCAATTAGAATATATGAGAAACTAATGGAAAGACTTGAAAGTTGATGATTAGTTGTCCAGCAGCAAGGGATTGAAATTTGAGATGCAACATCCAAATACCATCTTCATCATTTGGAGACAGAGAACAAGGTGGAGAAAATTATTAGGGTTGACAATTAGACATGTTTTAACACGATTTGCCTATATTATTAAAGTAGAAATGTAATAGTAGTAAGTTTAAATTATGGCTAGTTAGGATGATTAAACTCGATTGTAAATTAATTTTATACAATCACGTTCACGATCACATACATCTTTTACATATCATAAACCCGAATATACACGACTACAAATAGATTGTGATGAATTACAAAAATTCACATAATTTAGACGCTGCAAACCTAACATGACATGATTGAGGATATTATAATTTACAAAAGAAAACCTCATGGTATTTCTTCTCTTTTTGGCATTATTCCTTGGACATAGATAAATTTATGGGAGAAATTTGAGCCCATATTTGGTGCTTCTCTTTACATGAGATTTTGCACAATTTATAGTTACACTTTATATGGAAATGAAACACATTTAATGATTGTGTTTTTTTTTTTTTGGAATATATTGGGCTTCTTTGGAGCCAACTTTTGTTGGTGCAAAACATAAGTTTGAAAAGTGAACTAAAAAAGTTCGAGTAAAAAAAAATCTTGGAACAGTTTAGAGTGCTTTCAAAAAAGTCAACTTTTCTTTAAAACTCTTTGATAATCACTATTTTTTAACTTTTCCTTGGTACTGATAAGAGTTTTTTTGTCCAAAAAAATTGATAAAAAAACCACTTGATAAGTTTGGGTTCAGACATACTAGACTTTTTTTTCTTTGAAACAAAAAAAGACTAAAGTTTTCAGTTTTCCCTAAACAAGCACATTGTTTCACACTCTTGTTTTCATTACAAAATTTCAAATGATGTTGAATAAGTTACACAAAAGAAAGATTTATACAAAAAGGTAATCTAATGCATGAGATTCTTGCACATGTGGAGTTTGATAGATCAGATATATGCAGTATTACCTCGCATGTAGCAGGGGTGACAATCAAATCTTGATGGGTCATTTCTAAGTTACGTAATTTTCTAGTGGTGTCAAGTGTAAATCACTTCTAACTCAATCCGTTCAATTAATCATGTCAGAAATTCTGGCATTAATCCGACATATTTATTGTCATATTATGTTCGAGTTAACCAATATAAACTATGAATTAAAAATTTAGCACTAAGATCACATATTCTCAACTAACCTTGTCACTCATAATTTTTTACCTGTTTAAAATATATTCAAGTATGGAGAATGACTAAAGCAAGCCAATATATATATCTCCTTTTCAATAATTCATGTAAATGCATGATAAAAAATCAATTATTTCATTTATATTATACATGTTAAACGTGTTTATCGTGTCAAATTCATGTAGTTCGTATTTAATACTAACCTGAACTATTCTTTATTCGTGTTAGCAAGTCGTATCATTTTAAGTTTCTCGAAAAAAAAAATTATATTATTTTGAGATGATGTCGAGAATTACTCAATTTTAACTCACTAATTTCATGTCGATTTCGAATCGTATTATCTTATTGTGTCCAATATTATCACTCTAGCATGTGAGGAGACTATTTCTACAACTCGAACCCTCTAAAATCCAAGTCGCAATAAAATAATTACTATTTTTACAACTCGAATATTTAATGTCGAATGTCGAAGTCGCAACAGAATAATAATAAGAATACTGAAGTGTTAGGAGCTGCCAAACAACTTTTAGGGAGCCAATGCCAACCATATTGTAGAATTGTTCTCGAGAATTTTTTTTGTGGATTCACTCTATTTTCTCCATCAACAGTGATTAGAGTTTGTGATAGGTCCTATCATGCTAGATTTGTTTCCTATCTGAATAGTATAGTCATTAGAGTTTGTGATAGGTCCTATCATGTTAGATCTGTGTCCTATTTGAATAGTATCGTCACAAATTTTATTAATTTTACATCTACTCAAGTCTTGTATAGTTGGTTTTTGTCATATATAAGAAATGTATATTCATGCATCATTGTGTTCATGTTAGGTATGGCTGGTTCCACCCCAACTTATGAGTAATTCGTGTTTGAGTCGAATCCTTTAAAACTAAGCATATACCCAATGTTATCATAGTGATATCATGTTAGATTGGCATGTCGGTTACCCCTTACCCCCCCCCCCCTGTCCCTTATACCCATCTAGATGGG